GGAGGAGAAGGAGGAGGAGAAGGAGGAGATGGAGGAGGAGAAGGAGGAGGAGGAGGAGGGAGGAGGGGGATGAGGAAAAAAGACCATAAAACAAGCCAGGTGATCGATTGTAACAAGCTGAGATGAGAGGCTGTGGTTACAGTGCAGCTAAAATATGTGACGGACGATTTGTATGCATGGATTAGGTGTGGCAGGAGAGGCGGGGGGAGTGATGACATACCATAATGACACCAAGCAGGCCAAGACGGACGAATTCCTTGGTGGCCGTGGGGGAGCCCGACTCAAGGATGTAACAGAGGAAGCGGATGACGTGAATGCGTAGTGAGCCGAGGGACGGAGATGTGGACGAAGAGCTGCCCTTCTGAAAGAGGATGGGGAATGTGTAATTTACATATGGAGAAAAAAATAATTTCGTCCAGGAGCACTACTAATGAAGATTAGGAACACTGGCGTGGTCATATCTAACATATCAGATGTCACTGGCCAGTGATGATAAAACCCCGCGTGCTGGCACAATCGAGGTTTTTAGCCACAAGGGTCCGGTGGATCGGTTAGCACTTAGGTACAGCACTAAGTCCCTCTGACCTGACGGGTTCGCACCCTGTCGCACCATAAATTGACAGTTTAGATGGTCGATACAAGCGAAAATGCGAGTTCCAGGAACTAGTTGATCAAAAGAAGAAGCGATCGCTGGAACAATGGCTCTATTCGCCTGACGTTTCGGATTCTCTCTTGAATCCATCATCAGAGACAGTTGCAGAAAAGGGTGGCTAGTGTACAGGAAGTCGCAGTATTTATAGGATGCGGTCGCCATGCTACCGCATACCTACAGCAATTAACCGTGCTCACTTCATGAAGGATTGTTGCCCGCTGGTGCGCTAATTGCTTGATGGCCGGCATGCAAGTTGTTAATTGCTGACATCTCATCACCCGTGTTGGATGCTGGCGTGATGATTGCTCGGCCATCTGGCCCACGTGCTTGCGCGCTCCTCGAGTGGTCAATTGCTTTGGCCAGTCTATGCCTCAGGACAGAATATGGAGTGGGGATGTCGTTGCACTTGTTGATAGACTGAGGTCCCGTGAACCATGACTCAAGCAACTCGCGGCTCACGCGATTATCCCCTCTCGCGAGAATTTCGGCCTCATCGAACTTGAATGTGTGGCCGGGTCTCGTCGAATGGGCCGCGACCTGAGAGTTGGCGTCATTTCTCCGTACAGCTGCCACGTGTTCGGCCATTTGCGTCCGGAGCAGTCTTCCAGTTTCTCCGACGTAGTTGCTTTGTCCGCAACTGCACCAGATCCGGTAAACGACTCCAGATGCTTCTTGCCGTGGCAGTGGGTCTTTTGGTCTCATCACTTGACGCCTCATGGTGGCCTCCGGTCTGTGCGCAACTCCAACCCCAAGTGGTGCAAGAAGGCGGCTAACGGCCTCGGAGACGTTCTTGATGTACGGTATCGCTCGCCAGAATTTGGGGTCGGCGCGATTTTGTCGCTCGTCTCGTTTGCGCAGGCACTGGTTGACGAAGTTGCCCACAGACCGAAATTCTGGGCTCGGTATGTGGACGATACGTTCGTCGTCATCGAACGGGATTAGGTGCTAACGTTCAAAGAACGTCTCAACAGCGTCTTCCCGGACATACAATTCACGATGGAGGAGGAAGAGAATAACCAGCTGGCATTCCTTGATGTCCTCGTCTGTCGCAAAGATTGTGGTGGCCTAAAGACCAAAGTGTTCAGAAAAGCAACGAACACGACGCAAATTCTGAACTTCAACAGTAACCACCCAATCTGCCACAAACGCAGTTGCGTAAGAACGCTATTTCGGCGTGTTGAGACGCACTGCAGTGAACCGGAAGACAAGGTTGCCGAATCCCAATATCTTCGACGGGTTTTTCCGAGAAAACGGTTACCCGCGCAACTTCGTCAACCAGTGCCTGCGCAAACGAGACGAGCGACAAAATCGCGCCGACCCCAAATTCTGGCGAGCGATACCGTACATCAAGAACGTCTCCGAGGCCGTTAGCCGCCTTCTTG